TCTCTTTGTCTCTCTCAGAAATAAATTTTAAAAAACATTTAAAAATTTTAAAAAAGAAAAGATGCAGCCCTATTGAGTATTTCTTTATTGTGTAGGCTTTTTGACTATCAGTAGTTTGTATTCTGGGGCCTGTCATCTAGTTTGTTGTAAATGTTAGCAAGGAGTTTTGGTTTTGCTGTCTAGTGCTCGCTTTTTATGTGAGGATTTGGAGAATTTGAAAACTATGCTGTTGTTGCTGTTTTCCCAGATTCCCCCATAACTGGGGTGTGTGTGTGTGTGTGTGTGTGTGTGTGTGTGTGTGTGTGTGTGTGTGTAGTCTATTTGAATAAAAATTTAAATAAGTTTATATGTCTTAAAAAATCTGTAGATTCCCCTCTGTATCTATCCTCCCCTCTTACTCCCCTTCTCTCTCTCTCCCTCCCTCCTTTTTTCCCTAACAGTTTTTTAGTTGAAGAAACCGCTTTTGGTATCCTAAAGAGAAAGCCTAAAGACTTTGCTTACTGAGCACCTGGGTGGCTCAGTTGGTTAAACGTCCGACTCTGGTTTCAGTTCAGGTTATAATCTTATGATTCCTGAGACTGAGCCCCTTGCTTTGGACTCCATGCTGACAGTTTAGGATTCTCTCTCTCTCCTTCTCTGGCCTGTTTCTCACTCACGCTCACATGCAAAGTTTGCTTATGAGCAAACCTTTAAAGTGGTAGGTAGTTGGATCTAGAGTCTTGATCAGATTCCAGTTCACAATAAAGTTGTATATTAAAAACAAACACTGGATAGAACAGCGCAAAGGAGAGCAAACAGTACAGAAACAGAAGCACTGGAGTGAAAAAACTCAAGTTGAAAACTTTACTTTGGCAAATAGGCAAATCCATAGCAACAAAGAATAGAATAGTAGACACTAGGCAATGAGGTATGACTGTCAGTGGGTACAGGGTTTCTTTTTAGGGTGAAGAAATTAGACTGTGGTGATGATTGCATAACTCTTAAAAACCACTGAATTGTATACTTTAAAAAATTGAATTTATGGTATGAATTATATTTCAATAAAGCTATTATCTTACAAAAGGAAGTTAGACTTAAAAACAAAGAGGAATACCTAATCCTTTGAAACTGGTAGGAAGAAGGTTGGCATGGTAAACATGCTCTTAAGTTTGTAGGTGACCTATCCTATAAGCTCACTTATAAAGTGAGACTTAATTATTTAACTATCTATTGAATATATCGATTGGAAAATTCTGTTGACATGTCAAACTTGGTATCATTGCTGACCAATAGAAATGTAATTTTCTTTAATGTTTATTTATTTTTGAGAGAGAGAAAGAAACAGAGCACAAGCAGGGGAGGGACAGAGAGAAACACACACACAATGCAAAGCAGCCTCTGAGCTGTCAGCATAGAGCCTGATGCAGGGCTCGAACTAATGAAATGTGAGATCATGACCTGAGCCAAAGTCAGATGCTTAAGCAACTGAGCCACTCAGGTGCCCCACAATAGAAATGTAGTAAGAGCCATGTATAGTTTTTAATTTTCTAATAATTAAAAAAACAAAAACAGATGTAAAATTAATTTTTTAAAGGTTTTATTTATTTTCAGTGTCTGGATAATTCTTTTTTCTTTTTTCTTTTCTTTTTTTTTTTTTCTCCAAGCTAGTTAACATATAATAATCTCAGGATAAGATTTTATTTTTAATGATCTCAGGATAAGATTTTATTTTTAATCTGTATACCCAATGTGGGGCTTGAACTCAAAACCCCCAGATCAGGAGTTGCATGCTCTACCAACTGAGCCAGCCAGGCACCCCTGAAATTAATTTTTATGTCTCTTATTTAATCCAGTGTGTCTAAAATATTATATTTCAGGGGTGCCTGGGTTTTGGCACAGGTTATGATTTCATGGTTCATGAGTTTGAGCCCCACGTCGGGCTCTGCACTGACAGTGGGGAACCTATTTGGATTCTCTCTCTCACTCTCACTATCTTTCTCCCCCTCCCCCACTCCCCCACAATCCCTCTCTCTCAAAATAAACCTTAAAAAACAAATAAAATATTATATTTCAACATGTAATTAATGTAAAAGTTACTCATGAGATATTTTACATTTATTTCTCATACAAGTCTTTGAAATTTAGTGTGTATTTGACACTTAAAACATAACTCAATTCAGACTTCCCAGATTTCAAGTGCTCAATAGCTGCATGTGGAATATACCTAGTTATTCGACTGTGCAGATGAGGAGGTTTAAGATGGAACTCATGAACTTGTTCCTGTCTCCTTGATCTCAGTAAATGGCACCTCTTTCTGGGGGTCATTCTCATATTTCCCTCTTTCTTACCATTCACATCGGTCACTTAGTTCTGCTGATTTTTTTTCTTTAAAGGTTATACACAGCCATCTCTTCTTATCCAGTCTACCAGTTGCCCCAGTTTCAAGACTTAATTATTTCTTTCCCAGGCTTGCCTCTCAACTGGTCTTTCTGTCTCTGCTTTTGCCCCTCATAAGTACATCTTCTACTTTGCAGCCAGAATCTCTGCCTAAAAATCTCACCATGCCACTCTCCCTATTTAACACCTTTAGTGGCTTCCCAGTATTTTAGCAGTAGCCTGACCACAGTGAATGCACAGGTGATTTTTGGGGAATTTGGAAAGAAAGTAGATATCCTTACTTCATTCTTAAGTACATTTAGTCCATTTCTTAATGTATGTAACACTAGAATGTATAAGTAATTTATGAATGAATATAATTATACTAATGGAATGTGATAAAGTGCAGGTTTATCTTTGTGGTGGTGCTGATGGTGCTGGTGCTGGTCCTGGTGTTAAGAACACTTAACATGAGATTTACCCCCAACGTATTTTTAAGTGTACGTTATCATTGACTATAGGCACTAGGTTGTGTTAGCAGGTGTTTAGAACTCGCTCATTTTGCATAAATGGAACTTTATACCTGTTGAACAATTCCCTATTAACCCCTGGCAAGCACCATTCTACTCTGCTTCTATGTGTTTGACTGTTTGGGACACCCTATGCAACTGGAATCATGAATTATTTGTCTTTCTGTGACTGTTAACGTAATATCCTCCAGGTCCATCCTTGTTTACTGCATACGACAGGGTTTCATTCTCTTTTAAGGCCAAACCATATATTTTTTTATCCATTTCATCTATGTCTGGACATTTAGGTTGGTTCTATATCTTGGCTATTGTGAATAATGCTTCAGTGAATAGGAGAGTACAAATGCCTCTTTGTGAGATCCTAATTCAGTTCTTTTGGATATATATCCAGAAGTGGGATTGCTGGATTCTATGGAAATCCTATTTTAAATATTTTGAGGAATCTCCATACTTTTTTCATAGCAACTGTACCATTTTTCATTCCCACCAGCAGTGTAAAAGGGTTGTAATTTCTCCACATTCTCACCAACACCTACCTTTTGTTTCTATTTTTTAAAATAGCCATCATGACAGGTATGAGGTAATACTTCGTTGTGGTTTTGATTTGCAGTTCTCTGATGATTAGTGATGTTGAGCACCATTTCATAGAGCTGTTGGTCATTTGTGTGTTTTCTTTGGAGAAGTTTCTGTTCGTGTATTTTGCATAGGCTAAATTAAATTAAATATTTTAATTTAGGGGTTTTTTTTGTTAATGAATGATTGGAATTTCTTAGATATTTTGGGTATTGACCCCCTATCAGATAAAAGATTTATCTCCCATTCCATACGTTGCCTTTTCATTTTGTTGATTGTTTTCATTTGGTTTTTGCCCCAGAAAGTCTTCCTATTCTAGGTTAGATGAGATGTCCCTCTTCCTAATTCCCATGAACGTTATAAATAACTGACTTGGCACTTACCTTACTACTGGAATTCTGTGTGCTTATAGGTCTGTTTTGTCTTTCTTCCATCTGCCAAGACTCATACTGAGGGAAAGGATTTCGCCTTATTATTTTTGTGCTCTAGTCCCTACTCCAGTTCTCGTCATATAGTTGGCACTCAGAGATTAGTAGAATTAAATTGAACCCCTGAAAATGTTAGTAAGTTATCAAAGTTTGGGCCTAGGCATTAACCAAACTTAAAATAATTGAAGACTTAGATCCATTATTAATACTATGACCTCTGTTTGAAAATTTAGTAGATAAATGAAACTGACAGTAGTGGTACTTTTAATTTTAGGTGAAATAGAACTGTAGCACACAGGGGTGCCTGGGTGGCTCAGTCAGTTGAGCATCTGACTTTAGCTCAGGTCATGATCTCACGGTTTGTGGGTTCGAGCCCCACGTTGGGTCTGTGCTGACAGCTAGCTCAGAGCCTTGGGCCTGCTTCAGATTCTGTGTCCCTCTCTCTCTCTCGCCCTCCCCTGATCACACTGTCTCTCTCTTTCTTTCTCTCAGAAATAAACAAAACAAAACAAAACAAAAAAAAGAACTGTAGCATACATAGAATACCAAAAGATTAAGTATGTAAACTCTACTAGGCTAGGCAGTGTTTTTGTTTTTTTCCCTTCATGGATTTATTCCTAGTGCGTAAACCAGTACCTGGTACATAATAGTAAGTTACTGGTCATTAAATACTTGTTGAATAAATGAGTGTAGAAAAGCACTCTAACTTCATACTTTATTAGGCTTTTAAGACAAAAATTAAGTTCAAAAACATTTTTTCATTCCTAATTCAATTTAAAATTTACCCCTTGAGGGGCGCTTAGGTGGCTCAGTTGGTTAAACATCTAACTTTGACTGAGGTCATGACCTTGCGGTTCACAAGTTCAAGCCCCGCATAAGGCTTTGTGCTAACAGTTCAGAGCTGGAGCCTGCTTCAGATTCTGTGTCTCTTTCTGTCTCTGCCCCTCCTCCATTCACATTCTATGCCTCTCTTTCTCAAAAATAAACATTAAAAGAAAATTTTTTTAATTCTTTAAAATTTACCACTTGAAACAAAAATCAAATTACTATATTCTCACATTACTTATATTTTTGTAAAGGAAGTCTGGTGTATAAATATATTTTTCTCTTTTAGTAAACGAAGCAAAAAAGGAGATAAAAATGGAAAAGGCTTGAGACATTTTTCCATGAAAGTGTGTGAGAAAGTTCAGCGGAAGGGTACAACATCATATAATGAAGTGGCTGATGAGCTGGTATCAGAGTTCACCAATTCAAATAACCATTTGGCAGCTGATTCGGTAGGTAGATCATTCACTTGACATTGATGTGATGGGTGATGTAACAGTGTATCTCTGGGTTGACTATATCCTTGATTTAAGGACTCAGACAAGCTAGGGAATCCCCATCTCCTTTACTTGACGGTTTCATATTGTCTAGTGAGGAATTCTTTTGCTGTTGATTTTTTGTTTGTTTTGTTTTAGAAAGGATTCTTTTATCATATACTTAAACATAAAGATGACCATGTATTTTTAAGATAAAATTTGGGGAGTTACAAAAGGAACATTTTCTTTTAAACATACCTTTTATATTTGAATGACTTTGGAGACATTTCTGAGTCCATTTTTTAGTGTTTCTTCTATGTCTAAGTCAATTAGAAAATTTTATCTTGCTTTTAATTGAAAAAATAATACATAATACATGTCTATAAAAAATTCAGTTATGGGTGCCTGGGTGGCTCAGTCGGTTGAGCATCCAACTTCGGCTCAAGTCGTGATCTCACAGTTCATGGGTTCGAGCCCTACGTCGGGCTCTGTGCTGACAACTCAGAGCCTGGAGCCTGCTTCAGATTCTGTATCTCCCTCTCTCTCTACCCCTCCCTGGTTCACACTGTGTCTCACTCTCTCAAAAGGAAATAAACATTAAAGAAAAAAAATTTTTTTTAAATATTTGCAGTTTTTTTTCCCTAGAGATCCATCTCTTGAATTTGTATTGATCCTCTTGTTTTACAGTTAGTTTCTTTTTTTAATCTTCATTTAATATTCTCTTCTCTTTCCTCAGGTTACGTTTGTTATTTTTCTACCCTATAAACTCTGATGTATACTTTATTTACTTTGATTATTTTTGTTTAGTAATGAAAATCTTTATGGCTGTGATTTTCCTCTTGTATGCTTCTTTAGCTATATCCCATTGATTCTGATACAATGTTATACTTTAGATATTCTGCAACTTTGGTTTTAATTTCCTTTCTGATCTAAGAATGGTGTTAGAGTTTTTATAGTTCCAGATGATGGGAAATTTTTTCTGAATTTTCACTTTTATTACCTGTGTTCAGAGACTGTTAGTTGAACTATTTATATTTTTGGAATTGCTTTGAGATTTTTATTGTGAGCCATTAGACAGTAATGTTGTTGTTGTTTTTTCTCTGGCACCTGTAGAGAAGGTATATGGCATTATGATTCTCAGTGAAAGCTCTCAAAATGTTCTACAAGACCCTATGTGACCTGGCCCACCATTGCCTCTCTGATCTCATTTGCTACTACACACTGTCTCAATTACTACACTCCAGCATACATAACATTTCTTCCATTTTTCTTAATTAAAAAAAAATCAGAAATAGATACTGAATTCAATAAAATTCTGCATAATTTTCCTGAAAATCTAGGAGTTTTACACTGATAGTTATGAATGAGATTGGTTGGGGGGGCGTGTTTTGTTTTGGAGTGACTGTGCCAGATGTGCTCCTTATCAGGCTATTATACCTGCTATTTCCTTTGTCTGCATCTCTTTGCTAAGGAGCCATGTAGTTTCCTCGTTTTTGCTCAGATATCACTGTACCAAGGTATTTTTTCTCAGCACGTTTCATCATCTAGCATACATTTTTACTAACCACCCCCATCCCCACCCCTGAATACAAGCAAGGTTGGGTTTTTTTCTGTCTATTCCCTTCTGTGTTTTTTTTTTTGATAATTTGGAAGGTTTGTAGTCTTTAGTTCTTTAATCGGTTATCTTTATAACTTTAAGTAACTTCAATATTTTGTTTCTTTTGTTAGTTATCACCTGCAAACCAGTTATCTATTGATTATGGAGAGGAAAAAATTAATATATTTATATGTACATATGTCTCCCATCTTTCCTCTCTACCACAGGATTCAGATTGACTTTATTAGTGGTGGTTGTTAAAAGAATTATATTATTGGTTGGTCATATGACTTTAAATAAGTATATTGTGCCAAACCTATATTATTACTTAGTTTGTCTGTCTGAATAGTTCATCTGTGTTGAATCCCAAGCCCTTTAAATGTTGAGGAGAATATCAGCAGGCCTAATTTGTTGCTCATTTTTGATTTTTTTAATTATATTATCATTATTTCTACAGTGTCAGGATTTGGGGTTTTTTTTTTTTTTAAGTTTACTTATTTATTTTGAGAAAGAGAGAAAGAGAGAGAGAGCCCGTCTGCTCTTGAACAAGTAGGGGAGGGGCAGAGAGAGACAGAATCTCAAGCTGGCTGTACGCTGTCAGCACAGAGCCCAATGTGGGGCTCAAACTCACAGTCCATGAGATCACAACCTGAGCCAAAATTGAGAGTCAGATGCTTAAGTGACTGAATCATCCAGGTGCCCCTACAGTGTCAGGATTTCTAGCATTTACATTCAGTTCTATAACTTAAATCTCCTATTTATCTAAGTTTAGTTCTGTACCTTACATAGATTCATTGTTCTCCACCATCCTTTATTATCATGTCATTCGATTAATTGGATTTTGTTCTTAGGAACTGCTTGTCCACAATAAATCAGGAGCTTTTCCACAGTCTGAGTTGACACAGTTTCCTTCTTTGAGAAAATCTTGCTACCATTAAAAAAAAATCAGCTGAAGTAAGCAGTGTGTTTTAGTCCTCTGTGTAATGACATTTTGTCCACATTCCCTATTTTCATTGTAGACTAGTAACAGGTTGCAGATCAGTATTAGACCTTGGACCACATACTTGAAAAGCACTGTTTACCTAGAGCTTAAAATATGCATTCTTTTCAGAGTCTAATATCCTCCCACAATGCAGGGTTTTAGCCTCCTTTAACTCCAGTACCCCTCTAATATACATATTCTTGTTATGTATGTTAGTTCTATATATATTCTTGATGCCACAGACATTGTTTTATACAGTGAGGTTAATTGAGATATACCCAGAGATTTACCTTTCAAGTGGTCTTCATTCTATACTATGTCTCCAAACTCCCATCTTAGATCCCATCCATCTTTCTTCTACTTGAAGAAGGCCTTTTAGTGTTTTTTAATTTAAATCTGTAGGTAACATAATCTTTACTTTTTAGATTGTTTTATGTTTTAGATTGTTTGGAAGTATCTTTATCTCATCGTTACTTTTGAAGGATATTTCACTGGGATAGAATTCTTTAAGCACTCTAAAGATATAATAATAATATTAGTTAAATATCTTAATATCCTATGAGTATATCTTAACCCTTGAAATTTATCACTCATTAAAAATATTTTTTAGCAGGCCTATGACCAGAAGAATATTAGGAGAAGAGTTTATGATGCTTTAAATGTGCTAATGGCAATGAACATAATTTCAAAGGAAAAAAAAGAAATAAAGTGGATTGGCCTGCCTACAAATTCTGCTCAGGAATGTCAAAATCTTGAGGTAAGTGAGGAATATCTGTTTACAGATCGTAGTTTGCTTTATTTTACATAAGAAGCATATTAATTTAGAAATACATATAATATTAAAATATTTCTAATTATTTGTGTATACTTGGTCTTGTTTTTTAAAGCAGACTCTTCTGTGTAGGATTTTAGAACTGGAAGGAGATTTGGAGAAATGTTATTATTTGGATTCCTGTTGAAACTGAGGGACATAGAGATTAAATGACTTGATTTTTACTGTTTCTTAGAGAAGATATTTATTTTATTCTAGTTTAATTCTGAGTACTCTGTATTAATAAATTTTTGATAACTGATGCATAGAAATAGTACTTGATGAATTGCTCTATAGATAAAAAAAAAAAAAAGAAGGATCAAACTGGCTGTTTACTTCTTGTGTTTAAACTTTTATCTTTGACCCTGTCTTGACAGCCAGATGGTATTTCATCCATATCTTTGTCATAAAGGATAGAATGTCCAGCTTGCATGAATTTTGGAATGATGTATGCAAAGACATTTTTTATTCCATTAATCGTAATCATTATAGAAAATCTGTCCTATATGAGCATGTGCCCTGACCTACTGATTTTAAATTGGTTTGACATAATTGTACTGTCATGGGCATAAATGGAATAAATTGAGGCTTTGTTTCTGGAGATAAATATGGTCGATTTCATGTTTTTCTCCGTTTCTTTTTCCCCTCAGCAAATCAAAACTTATTTAGTGGTATTATACTTGTGGATGGAGGGAGAAATTAGACATTCACCAGAAGTTATAGGATGTTATTCATATGCTGCAGTGGAATTTGAGGATCGTCTTTATTACCAGTAACATTAAGCTAATAACCGACTCTCAATAAGCAAAAATCTATTAGCAGTTACTGCATATTTACCCAAAGATTATATGGAGAAAAATCTCAGACCCCAGGAGCTTTCATTCTGATTGAGAAAAGGAAAAATGTTCAAAAGGAGTTACCCAAACTGATTGATTACTCTTGTGAAAGATGTATGTACACACTCTCTGGAAAGGGAGATAAGGGAGGGCTTTACCAAGGAAAGAAGAATCCCCGAGCTCAGTTATGAGGGAGATATAGGAGTTTGCCCAGAGGCTCAGGGCAAGGAGGGCCGTCCTGTGTGGGCTGCTCACAGCTGAATGTGAGCGGAATGCAGGCAGGGCTAACCGGAATAGATTTCTAAGTGCAAGTACAAGGCTTTGGAACCTGATCCTGTAAACTGTGGGAAGCTATTGAAAAATTATGAAGAGGAGGGCTGATAGGACACATTCTAAGGGATCACCCTGCTGGTGGATTGGAAGTTGAACTGACTGGAAGATGAGGAGGGAAATTGAGGGAGTGGATTAGAGATGTTTTGAGTTAAGTCAGTGGCATGAAGTTGGAGAAATGTTTTAGAGGTAGAATCTATACAACTTGGCCTGGTGTTAGATGTGGGGCATGAGAGGCAAGTAGGAGCCTGGCCTGGCCTGTCCCAAATGCAGATATAATAAATACAGAGTCCTACAACATCTTTTCAGATGTAGAAAGCCACACAGATTTTCAAGTGAATGTTAAGTAATTTAGGATGGCTAGAGGAAGGATGAGAGGAAACTCCTGGTACATACTAGAGTCAATAGGGAGCACTTAAGACTTAACACGGTTGTCATTTAAAGAAAGAGGAAGTGGGGTCACCTGGGTGGCTCAGTCAGTTGAGCACTCGACTTTGGCTCAAGTCATAACCTCACAGTTTGGGAGTTTGAGCCCTGTGTCAGGTTCTCTGCTGTCAGTGCAGAACCCACTTCAGATCCTTCCTCCCTCTGTCTCTGCCCCTTTCCCCCCCCCAAAAAAATAAATAGTTTAAAGAAAAAAAGGAAACATGGTTGGAGTAGACAGGAAAAATGTCATATTTGATGTTACCAACTTTTGCCCAAAGACACAGTGAGGAACTCAGAGAAAATTCAGAAAGAGTGAGGAAAATAATAGTTATGTGAAACTGGAAATTTGCCCCATAAGCATATTCCTTACCATAGGTTGGAATTGTGTATTGAATATGTAGGCTATTTGTATTAGGAGCTATGCCCACTTAAGAGCCAGTTAAACTGCGATCTTAAGTGAGATTTTACCTCATTCTTCATGTTAGGGGCTAATGTAGCAAAGTAATTAATAATAGAGTCTCTGGCACCAGGTGGCTTAGGTTCAAATCCCGACTCTTGCCACTTACTATGTGACCTTGGGCAGTTACTTAACCCTTGACGCCTGCATTTTTTTACATGCAAAATGCAGTACTTCTTCATAGTGTTTTGTGAAGATGAATTAAGATAATGTGTGTAAAGTGCTTGGTTGAGTTGCTGGCACCTAGAGTAAGTATTCACTAAATATTAGCTATTACTCTGATCAGAACTTGAGTAACAAATAGCAGCAAGTACTGCATGCCAAGTATTCATTAAGTGGATGGATTTCATTATAGATAACAGTTGCCATAATTATGCTATCATGCCTGCTTTCTTACTCTAACCCTGCTCCCCAAAAAGATGTGATTTGCCTTTATTGATATTGGTAGTTAAAATGGGTGGAGTTTGAAGAAAAATTATTGATAACTCAGAATTGGGACCTGAAAGGTAGGAAGTACTTTATATACCACATAGTTCACGTTCTTTTGTAACCTGTGTTTTAAAGATCGAGAAGCAGAGGCGGATAGAACGGATAAAGCAGAAGCGGGCCCAGCTGCAAGAACTTCTCCTTCAGGTAAAGATGCCGGGATGGTTTTCATTCTCTTCTGTATTCTGCTGCTCTGCTTACTTGTTTTTAAAGTCAGTGTTTAATACTTGGGTGCCTTGAGTCGTGTCTGATGGGACCACATTGGGGCAGCTCCCTCCACATCTGAGCCCACCACCATCTATCTCCATGGTCTTCTATCTCCATGGTCTAGCTTCATGACGGTTCCATCTCTCACCATCATCATGGCCCCTGGCAGCTCACCTGCCTTGTGCATGACTCATATATGCAACGATTTACTCTTGACACTTATTCTGACTCTGAACACAGACTGTATCAGGAGTCCTTTCGTGTGTGTTTATTTTAGCCCTAATTTGGAATGTCAAGAAGTAAGACTAGTTAAACTTTAGGCACCTGGAGTAAAATAATCGAATCCACCTGTCATACTTAGTATCCTAAATAATAAAATGATGTCATGATTCAGTAAGCTTCATAGAAATACCAAAAGTTAAAATGCCTTTCTTTTACGAAAATTAACTTTTACAGTGTAATAAGGATCCCTATATTTATACTGTTTTGGATAATTGCCTGGAATTTGGATTTTTTTAAAATATAATAGAGCCAGTGTATAAAATCATGTGAGGTAGAATCACATGGACTTATTAAAATTTTTAGTTTTGGTAATTGCAGTTGCTATGAAAATTCACTTTGAGTAGTACACTGGGGTCATTTTCATTGCAGTCAGAAACCCTTTTTAAAATGAGTCAGAGGGTCTTTATGCTTTTTTTTAAATCAGCAAATTGTCTGCATATGAAAAGTTTTCAACCACTCATAAAACCCTCTTTGATTTGACAACTGTTAGATCTTACTTACTTTTTGATGTAATCCACTTTTCAGAAATAAAGGTAACAAGTTACCAAATATCAGCAGTTTTTTTCCTAAAGCAGTCCCTTTGTCTAAAGGACAGAATATGTTAGGTATTTTTAAATATTCCACACTTTTGTTTTTCACTTTCTAGATGCCAGGATTTGTTCATTTGTTTCACGTTTCTGTATGAATGAGAAGAGCAAGGGAAGACGTTCAGCCCTTGCAGAGCCCTGTGTATAATCTAAGAAGGGACTAGGAAAGGAAGTAGGGCGGGGCAGAGTAGCAGCAGACAGAGCAGAGATTGCCCAGACACAGCAGGCCCGGGACGTGATGTCTCCGCCCTGATTAGGCCATTCTTTCTTCCTTACTGTGTTCCCTGTCTGTTCTTCACACCCCAACCCCGTTGAACCTCCCTGAGGAGCGAGTGCTGGAGCAAGCATTTTATGTATTTTTCATACAGGATTTCCAAAAAAGGTTTTATTTGGAGAGAGGGTTCTGCAGCTTAAAAAATAAAAATAAAAAACAAACTTTAAAGCTGATGGTTTATTCCTGTGTTCCTTCTTGTGGAATTCTGCCTTCTGAGACCTGGCCTACCAGGCGCTGGCTTCTAACCCACACTGCCACTTTCTTTCCTCACCTGCCTCCGCTGTCCCTGTCTCTGCACTATTTCTCACTAGCTCACAGTCCCTCACTTCTGTGCCAGGTCTTCCTTAGATTTCCTCAAAACCTTCATGGAACATTATGGAACTTGCTTTTGGGCATAATGTTACTGAAAAAAACCTATATTTTAGTATGCCTGTAATAATTTGTTTATCAGAAAGAATGGTCCTGGGCACGATCACCCTCATGTATGTGGAATGTTCACATCCCTAGAGAGCCTTCATAAAGAATGAAGTTGAAGGGAGCCTGAGTGGCTCAGTCGCCTAAGCGTCTGACTTTGAGTCAGGTCATGATCTCGCGGTTCATGAGTTCAAGCCCCGCATCGGGTTCTCTGCTATCAGCACAGAACCTGCTTTGGACCTCTGTCCCCCTTTTCTCTGTCCCTCCCCTGCTCAAGTTCAGTATTTTTTCCTCTGCTTCTCTTTGTATAATGAACATTGTATTTTTATTTATTTTTATTTTTTACTTGTAATGTTTTTATTTTTGAGAGAGAGAGAGAGACAGCCCTCCTATTCTGAGACCCTCCTGCGGCACAAGGGCCACAAAGCTAGGCAGAGTATGAGAGCATCTCCTGAGATGCTTCTTCTAGTAGAAGGGAAGAGATTCTAGGCAGAAGTATTCAAACATTGCATTATTTTTCTCAGTTTTACAATAATAGCATATATTTTTCTATGTTAAGTAAATTAAGCAATGAATATAAAACAGCCCTCATTCTTCAGCAGCAGAAAATAATGAAGTGCGTGAAGTAACATTTGATAGTATTGACAGTAATAGTTTTTTGATAGTGAGTGATATTGATAGTGATTTTTAGATACCCTGTTGGGGCTAGAATAAATAGCTATCCCATCTGTTTTCTGCATTTTAAGAGTAAATGTTCACTTTCTTTTTAACTTTTTAATGTTTATTTATTTTGAGAGAGAGAGACAGAGAGAGTGGGGGAGGGGCAGAGAGAGAGGGAGACACAGAATCTGAAGCAAGCTCCAGGCTCTGAGCTGTCAGCACAGAGCCCGACATGGAGCTCGAACTCATGAACCATGAGATCATGACCTGAGCCAAAGTTGGTAACCTAACTGACTGAGCCACCCAGGCGCCCCATAAATGTTCACTTTCTAGGGATAGTACCCAGTCACTGTAAGATAAAAATAATATATATATATATATTTTTTTAATGTTTGTTTATTTTTGAGAGAGAGAGAGCAGAAGAGAGGCAGAGAGAGAGGAAGACACAGACTCCGAGGCAGGCTCCAGGCCCCAAGCTATTAGCACAGAGCCCAGCATGAGGCTCGAACTCATGAACGGTGAGATCATCACCTGAACCGAGGTCAGACACTTAACCTACTGAGCCACCCAGGCGCCCCTAAGATAAAATAATCTTAATCAAACTTGTGCTATGGTTTGGAACCTAAAATCAACAACCCTAGGATAAGATTGCTAAAACATAGAAAGTAACTTAAACTCATCACTACTGAGAAGATGAGACACACTGATGAAAGAGAATGAATGGATCTGACTTTAGGAGCATTTAAAACCACTCTGTTTCAGGAACAGATGAAAAAGTTGAATTGCATAGTCTTTCTAGCTGTGGAATTCTATGACACATTTGCCTTATTAAAAGGGAGTTTTAACTCATCCACATTAAATGACCATATTCTTTTTATTGATCATTACAGCAAATTGCTTTCAAAAACCTGGTTCAGAGAAATCGGCAAAACGAACAGCAGAACCAGGGCCCTCCAGCTCTGAACTCCACCATTCAGCTGCCGTTTATAATCATCAACACAAGCAGGAAAACAGTCATAGATTGCAGCATCTCCAGCGACAAGTGAGTGCAACTGGGGCAAGAGAGTAGGGCTGGCCTCCAGGTAACATATTCCCATCATTTGCAACATAAAGAATGGTGTACTTCCTAATGTGAGGCCTCCCAGGCTGACCTCCTGGGGCATGTGAAACATCTTTGCAGACAGGGAGTGTTACCATATACTAGTGCATTCTTCCTCACTCATCGTCTGCCCGTCCGCGCCTGGCACTGTGCTGCCCGTGCTAGATACATGGTAGAGCCTGGAGCCAAGGCAACATGTGGGTATATGTAGGCATATGTGCTAACTCTGGGCAAGTAACTGCCTGAAAGTAGACCCTCCGTGAGGGCCTGCGACAAGGTGAGTTCACTGAGGGTTTACTTCCTCGTTTATTGTCGAAATATTTTACATCAACGTGTGGCCTTAAAGCGATTGTTTCTTCGTTTTACTGTATCGAAGTTAAGTGTGCTTCTGTTTATTAATTAATGGACATGAAAATGTTAGATGCGTTCTCTGCTTTTTTTTTTTTCCTTATCTATTTTATAACTAGCAGTTTATAACTTTTGACCACCTTCAGCTATTTCACCCACTTCCCTTCCCTGCTTCTGGCAACCACCAGTCTGTTCTCTGCATCTATGAGTTCTTTTTCTTGGATTCCATATATAAGTGAAATCATACAGTATTGGTCTTTCTCTGTCTGACTGATTTCAGTCAGCATAATGCCTCAAGGTCCATCCAGATTGTTGCAAATAGCAGAATTTCCTTCTTTTTTATGGCCAAATATTCCATTTATACACACACACACACGTTTTCTTTATCTGTTCGTATGTCAGTGGACGGTCAGGTTGTATATCTTGGCCATTGTAAATAATGCTGCAGTGAACATGGGGGTGCAGATATTTTGTGAAATAGTGCTTTTATTTCCTTCAGATATATACCCAGAAGTGGAATTGCTGGATCATATGGTAGTTCTATTTTTAATTTTGTTCTATTTTTAATTTTTTTACATTTTAACTAAGATTGATGATGATATTTATTACAGCAAGTGAGAAGTAGCAGTTTTTTAAAATACTGCTAAGAATTAATTTGTGATTTATTTTACCCTCCAAGAAAAAGTAGTGGACCTCAGCCTGCAACTGGGGTCCTGAGATAGTGAAGGGAACAGGGTGTAGAGGGAGACAGACCCGAGTGTGGAGGGTGGCTTCCTCCCCGCCCCCCCAAGCTTAGCAACTTCAAAGCAGTTTTCTGAAGAACAAAAGGGGATGATTCCAAGGCCTCTATCACATGCTGGCCTTGTGAGGATTAAGTAAGATGGTGTTTATAAAGAATCTGACCCAAGGCCAGCCCTTTATAAATATTAGCTGCTGTTACAAGGAGTCAGCATATAACTTATTGACCAAATTGGGATTCATTTGAAAGCAAAAGAAGGCTCAGTAATCACATCAGTACCAGAGGCATAGCCCAAAACTGTCCGGGGAGACTGGGACCTCTGGTCTGCTCTGAGCTATAGCATTGCCCTTGGCCTTGGCCTTCTCTGGTCTTTACCACTCTTCTTGGGCAGTGTTGCTTCCCTGTTTATCTTGATGACATACAGAGATTCTAGGTCACTTAAATAAAAATGTGCCAAAAAGGAAAAGAAAAACAGTGAGCAAGGATTTCAAAAGTATTTGATAGTTAAGACTCTAGACACCATTAAAAATAGGGACCGTTTAGGCTATGAAGTCAGAAGATCCCTTTTTCAATCTTTCCTCTCACTACAGTTTCTTAACCTCTCTGAGATCTGGATGCTTCTTCACAAAAGTAAGAATTACAGTATTTAACTTGCTGGTTTTCAAAAGTCATAGATAGGTCTTAACGGACCTAGGCCACTAGGAGCCCAGTGCTCCTAGCCATGGTGCATGTCTGTGTTGTTCACACACTTGTAAATCTTCACAAAAACCTGTATCTAAAGGGACTGTGTTAATATATTCTCATAAAACTGGGAGTCCTAGAGAATGTTTAATATATTTTCAGGGGAAACAAACTTAGAATTCTAGTTCCTCTCTCCAGTTACCTCTTGTTTTGTGAGGGATTATTAAATTCTCTCCATCATTTAGTCTTCTAAGCCTAAAAAGGGTAACAGGAAAATCTGAGAGCCAATGATCTAAAGGAATTGTGGATTCTGTTCCCCCCAGGCTGGACCTAGTAAGATTTCCATCCCTGGGTGGTTATTGATCCCTACCCTTTCCCAACCCTTCCCTGAGTAAAGGGAAGAAGGCTCTGAACTACTTGTAGAAGCTTGTTATTCAAGGTAGGTCCCTAAAGCCTTGTCTTTCCATTACTTTGATGATGCAATCCTTCCCCCTTAATTAGCCTGGAGGTTTTTTCACCACAGGGATTAAATTTACAAAACCATCTGCTTTTAACTTATGCCAAGAATCATCCCTATGACAGGCGCGTACTTCAGACTTCTGTGGGGTTTTTTTTTTCCTGAAAATTTGTTAATGTCCTTTATTCAGCTTTATATACTTCAGATTATTTAAAAACATGGCATTTTACATTAAATTGTAATTTTTGCCCTGATCTAAAATCTTGCATAAATAAATTTTACCTTCACATGGTTTTAGTAAGAATTTTATGACAACATAAACCCACCATTATCCCAAAACATTTCATCTGCACTCTGTCACAGTAGAGTTGAGGCCTGTGGGTGAAGGTACCCCAGGGCCAAGTTCAGGAGTCAAAAGGACCGTGTTCTCCTACATTCAGCTTTTTTTTTTTTGAAACATATACCAGGTAGCTGGACATCCTGATTTGGTAATTTTCAAGAACATTTGGGAAAATGTACTATATATCTATGTGGTACTTTTCCTTAAGGTGTTTCACTTCTTAAGCTCTTAAGACAGGATTTGAGTTTTGATTTGTTTGTTAAAAGTCTTCCATCTATTACTTATCTAAAGTATGCTATAGCTGACACTTGATTTGTGAACATGAAGTAAACATCCATTATGGTTTTCTTTCTCAAACCTAATAGGCCAACTCATGGTAGGGATGTCTTATATTAAACTGGAAAGGCTCTCTTTTTATTTAATCTTTTTGATGAAGCTGAAGACAGTTTTTAGAAGTACTAGATTTAGACCAAAGTTCCTGACCCCTGTTTCCAGCAACTTAATGAGGGCTAAAGTTTATGGACTCCTATTGTCTATCATAAGAAAGTTGTTTTAATTGGGAAAGTGGTGTATTTGAGATGTCATTCCCTGGAACACAGCAGAATGATTCTTACTGCTCTGAAGAGTAAGTTTCTAGTACTGAATTTAGGGCCTCATCCTTTTGATTTAATATACAAAGTACAGCACTGTGCAGACGCCCCCTTTGCCCCTGAAACACCATTCTAACTTTGTTTTCTGATGCAGATTTGAATATCTTTTTAATTTTGACAACACCTTTGAGATCCATGATGACATAGAAGTACTGAAGCGGATGGGAATGTCCTTTGGGCTGGAGTCAGGCAAATGCTCTCTGGAGGATCTGAAACTTGCTAAATCACTGGTACCGAAGGCGTTAGAAGGTTATATCACAGGTATGTTAAGTAACATTTTTCACAGGTTGTCCCTTATTAAAGGTCAAACCCTAACCTGCTAACACCTTTCTCGTAGAAAAATAAAGTCCATTCTGTGCCCTTCCCTGCCCCTTTAAATGTAACCATTCTCTTAAATTTCTTTTTTATCATCACTTTCTATTTTTAGAAATACAAACAAATATAATAAACTGCAAACAGTTTTTTTATTGTCTGTTTCTGACCTTGATATAAATGGGATCATAGTGATATATTCTTTAGAGATAGGGTTTTTTTCCACTCCACATCATGTTCTTCTCATCTGTCCACATGATTTTATGTAGCTATAATTCATACGTTTTTACTGGTGTGGAGAATTCTATTATATGACTATACCACCATTGATTTTTTTTTTTTTTTTTCATTTTACTGGTGATAAACCTTTAGGTTTATTTCAAGTTTTTTGGTATTACAAAGCAGTGCTACTTTGAACATTCCTCTAACGATAACCCAGGGCCTGCATGCCCGGGTATGGCGTCAGATTGCTGGGTCAGAGGTACCTGCGGCTCAGCTTTACCAGATGATGCCAGAGCCTTATTATTTGATTTCACAAGTTACATTCTCACCTGCAGAGTGGAAGTGTTCTGTTTTCCCAACCAGGTGGATGTGATTTGGTATCCTATTTTTTTTTAATTGAGATTTAATTCACATGCCATAAAATTCACCATTTTCGATGGTATGTACAATTCAGTGATATTTCATATATTCACAAGGTTGCGCAATCATCACTGATTCTAAAACATTTCTATCACTTCAGAAAGAAGCCCCATACACATTAGCACACTCCCCCATTCCTCCCAGCCCTAGCAACCACTAATCTACTTTGTCACTACGGATTTGTCCAGTCTGGACGTTTCATATAGATGGACTCATGCAATAAGTAGCCTTTGTGACTGACTTCTTTGACATAGCTTTGTGTTTTCAGGATTCATCCATGCTGGAGCATGTGCCAGCACTTCATCCCCTTTCACTGCCATTCTGTGAATAATAGCACATTTCATTTATCCATTCACTAGTTGGTAGATATTTGGATTGTTTCCACTTTGGGGCTGTTATGAATGATGCTGCTATAAACATTCTTGTACAAGTTTTTGTGTGATCATAAATTTTCACTTCTGTTGGTTGTATACCTAGGAGCGGAGCTGCTGGGTCATATGGTAACTCTGTATTTAACATTTTGAGTTACTGCAGTTGTACCATTTTATAGTACTATCAGCAGCGTGTGAGGGTTCTATCTTGCCCACTTATTTTTCATTTAGATGTTACTGTCTTTTTTATTATAGCTATTCTTGTAGACATGAGGTAGGTAGTATTTTACTGTGGCTTTATTTTGCATTTTCCTAATTACTAATAGTGCTAAGCATCTTTCTGTGTGCTTATTGGCCATTTGTGTATCTTCCTTGCAGGAGTGTCTGTTCAGATCTTTTGCCCATTTTTGCATCAGGCTTTTTTATTATGAGTTTTAAGAGCGTACTGAGTAGGCGTGCCTTGGTGGCTCAGTCGGTTTAGCGTCCGACTTCAGCGTCATGATCTCACGGTTTGTGGGTTTGAGCCCCACATCGGGCTCTATGCTAACAGCTCAGAGCCTGGAGCCTGCTTCAGATTCTGTGTCTCCATCTCTCTTTGTCCCTCCCCTGCTCATGCTGTCTCTCTCTCCCTCAAAAAATAAGCATTAAAAATAATAATAAAATAAAAAGAGTGTACTGAATATACTAGAAAACAAAAATGATATGTTTTGTGTGTTCTATAATTCAGATTTTTTTTCAGTGATTCAGAAATCTTTGTGATTGTCATAATTCCTAAGACTATAGTATATTCTGTGCTTTTAATTTGGATGCATAGACAATGCGTTCACCCTTTGCTTTTGCTATTTCCATCAGTATTACCACCTAGAATGTCACATCACTTTCTGAAGGCATTGTAATATTAGCTCTAAGGTATATTAAATCAAATATAAGCTAAGAGGTAGTTCTTATTTTTTTTAAAGAGTTTGTTTTTAAGTAATCTCTATACCCAGTGTGGGGCTCTAACTCACAACCCCAAGATCAAGAATTGCAGGCTCTACCAACTGAGTCAGCCAGGCACCCATCATTCTTATTTTGTTTTGGCCTTTTGGTCAAAACACAAGAGTTCGTTGATTGATATTTGGTTTTAGTTGGATTTGGTTCTTAAAACTGGCACCATCCACCTGCGGCAAGTGTGACCGCTTCTTCTGCCCCTCAGTCAGCTCGCTCCTTATCTTCACCAGCCCCCCTCCCCATGCTCTTTTCTCCTCCCTTTCCCCCAGAACAGGCCCTGCTGTTTTATTAGCAGCTCACTCATACTGGCAGTCCAGCAGGGTCTGAAGAAAGAGCTTACTCAATAAATCGCCAGAACTTTATTTTAACCTATTCTCAGTGAAAAGGCTCAGGGCAATTAGGCGGACTCTGTGGTTTTGATCTCTTTGTGACCTCATTTGCAGACTAGGATATAGACTTTCTGGTTACTATAAAAGAAATGTGTGCCTTTAGTGTGCAAAGGGACAGAATGGCTCTTGAGTAAGGTTGTGAGGACTATTGTGTGGATCTCATGATAATGTGAAAGAAATGTAGGCTTTTCAATGCCATTGTGAAAAAGAAAATTTAATGTAGTATGCACTCGCAAACAAGTAAATAGCTGTGTTCTGACAGAAGGTTTCCATATATACTGATTAATATTCACCACAGGATTCTGGCTTTAATTTCTTCTTGCACAGGCTTGTTCTTATTTAATATATTTAAATAAGTCTCTTGTTCCCTTAGAATTGAATTTTTTTTCCACAGCTGCCTTAGCCTCTAAAGAAAAGGTTCACACAGCCATTCTAAAATTAATCATTCAGTGACCTTTTTTCCTACATAGGAAGCCTCTCACTTGCTCAGACAGCACAAGGATAGCAGGGGTCCCAGTCCCAGTCCAGAGAGTTGTGGGGGTTTTTTTGTTTTGTTTTGTTGTTGTTGTTTGCACAGTAATTAATTACAGAACAATTTCAATTAACTCTAATAAAGATTCATTACTAAATTGTACTTTCTGAGTGTACATTCAGTATTATTTTTTAATGTAAGTCAAAGAATTTCTTTTTAGGAATACGGTTTTATTATTTCTTCCACCTCTTTTGTAAACTTACTGTTGAAAGACTATACTCAGGCGTTCAGTAACATTTAGATCTTATATGTTCCAGTCACTGACACCTTTGAGCTAATATTCTAGATAATGTGACAAGCATTTGATAAAATTACAATAAGAATTTATCAGGGTTGTGATTGGAGAAATATTGTATATGCACAGAAAATAAGATTGCAAGGATATACCCAAAATATTTTATGCAGACTAAAACAGTAATGCCTGTCTCACCCTCGTTAAAAATGTGACTGCATATGACCTTTTATACGGGCTAGTTTGGGCCACCTGGGTGGCTCAGTCGGTTGAGTGTCTGACTCTTGATTTTACATCAGGTCATCATCTCCGGGTTGATGAGATTGAGCTGTGTGTCAGGTTCCACACTGAGCATGGAGCCTGCTTGGGACTCTCTCTCTCTGCCCCTCCCCTGCTTGCTCGTGCTCTGTCTCTCAAAATAAATAAATAAATGTTAAAAAAAAAAAATAAGGGCTTGTTTGAGTTATAAAGCCAAGGAAACCAGGATAAAGAATGGATCTTTGATCAGTAATAGCCCTGAGTTCACTAGTTCACATGTGAAAGGATGGTACGGGGGTGGGGGGGAGGGGGAGGGGATAGCAAATGTGGGTCTGTCCTCCTTTACCTGTTTCTGATTTGACTTCCTTTTTCTCACTCCTGGCTCGGCTTTTAACACCAGAGTCTTTGGTGGTGAGGACACTAGGTGTCCAGGAATAGTTCAGCAATCTCTACTCTGAGCTGCCCTCTCCAAGTGTTATTTAAGAAAAAAGAATGGGAGGGGCACCTGGGTGCCTCAGTCGGTTAAGCGTCCAACTTCTGTTCAGGTTGTGATCTCACAGTTTGTGAGTTCGAGTCCTGCATCAGGCTCTGTGCTGACAGCTAGCTCAGAGCCTGGAGCCTGTTTCAGATTCTGTGTCTCCCTCTCTCTCTGACCCTCCCCTGTTCATGCTGTCTGTCTGTCTGTCTCTCTCTCTCTCTCTCTCAGAAATAAATTAAAAAAACATAAAAAAAGAAAAAAGAATGGGAGTCCGTGATTGGTTTAATTTGAATTCTTCCTCTCTATAGTCTGCCTTCCTGTATTTTTTTTCCTGTTCTTTTGTCCTAGAGATTTCTTTTTTTCCACTCTGAAGAAACGTGGGTTCTCCCCAAGGGAGGAGACTCATCTAGCTGTGGTTTTTAAGTCAGGCTCATCTCCTTACTTGTCTGTGCTCCCTTGAGACCGTAACGGCAGCAGCCACAGAGCCCTCAGCGCGCCTACATCTTCTGTTTTTGTTTTTTCCTGTAGATATCTCCACAGGACCTTCTTGGTTAAATCAGGGACTACTTTTGAACTCTACCCAATCAGTTTCAAATTTAGACCTGACCACTGGTGCCACCTTGTCCCAATCAAGGTACGTATTCTTTCAGGGCCAGGAAGAGAAGCCACGCAGCCCTGACCCTCTCTGCGGGGCAGAGCCAGGTGTCACTGCCGTCTCAGGTCTCGCACAGATTTTGGCACAATTCCCCAGTGCCACCTCCTTTCCCATGTTTTGATTCCTACACTTTATGATGCTTAAAACATTCGCCACATTAATGAGCTTGTGTGTTTCTAATTATTTGCTAGCATAAACCAAGGGTTGTGCTTGGATGCTGAAGTGGCCTTAGCAACCGGGCAGCTCCTTGCCCCAAACAGCCACCAGTCCAGCAGTGCGGCCTCTCACTGCTCCGAGTCCCGAGGCGAGACCCCCTGTTCCTTCAACGACGAAGACGAGGAAGATGACGAGGAGGATTCCTCCTCCCCAGAATAAAGCCAGGAGAAAACCCACGTTTTACTAGTTGATGCTCATGTGTGTTTTTAGTGTGAGCTCTTGTTTTTGAAATGATTGCTTCAGTCTTTGCCTTTGTTTGCACTGTGTGTTCAGTGAAAACTAGGGAAACACAATAAGCAGATTCTGTGAAGGCTGAGATGATTGAGATGAAAAAAGCTAACATAGTTGAATGAGAACTTTAAACAACAGAGCAATAGATCACACCACAGACAAAGCGGTTTTCTGGGGTGATAGAGGGGACAGTCCCTAAGGAATTGGCAGCATGAATGAAGCTCATTTATCTTCCACGAGGTGGGATCTTTGTGTTCCCCCACACCCACGTAACCCTCCTTAGAATCAGGGCTGCTGTCATGAACAGTCCTTGACGTCATGTGTGTCGTGTTTCTCTTCCTTGCCTGGGCTGCCTTTTACAAGCAGAAGTGAGCGTCAGATCCCAGTGCAGGGGAGTGGGACGGCGCGGGGCGTAGACGGTGGTTCTTGTGGGCTGAGGAGCATGGGTTGAACTGCCTAACTAGCTGAAAGTCTGGTTGATGTGCTTTCTGCATCAGCTGCCTTAGATGGCTTCTAGAAAGGAGCAAGCGCTAATCCTGAAGTACTTACGTGACATTTAGGATAATTTATAGTAAAACTGAAATGATCATTATTAGCCAATGCGTTGGTGCATAGTTTTTTTAGGGCTACTTCTGGAAGCCGAAATAGAACAGCATTTCCACGTGCATTATTACTTTGCCAGCACTGCCTTTGCCAGCCTTCTAAATCTGGAGTTTTACAGAGAAAGAAATTGTACCTATAGTTTTAATCAAAGCTATGCATTTCATATAGCTTTTTCATTTAAAACAGAACAGACAAATTCCTGTGACCGAATTGCTTGCTTACAGTCCCCTGCAGTATCCGTTTGGTGTGCAATTTGTAAACATGAACCAAACGTTATTACTTCTGTCTTTAAAGTCTATTTCAAGAATATGAACATCAGTGTTTTCCTTTACATGTCACCATTTGTACATTTTCATTCACCAAAATCACCTTATTGGGTTTATTCCTGGGTAAATTGCATTTCAGATTAACCCAATAATTCAACATTTCACAGGAACACTGAAAAATGTTGATCACTCCAAATGATTGGATTTATAGCAGTGCTTTCTACAGTTTGTTATTTCATAGCCAAAGATGCCGCTGGGCATACTGCACTGGTGTGGTCACAGCCCCTGCCCCTCTGAATATTCAGGGAGTGTGGTGACTTCTGCCAGCATGGCCTAACCTTGATTTAATTTCACATTAACGCCTTGAGAAGAGCAAATAATCATGGAAAATAACTCTTCGACTCAACTCGTTTGGATATGCCTCTGGATTATGCATCTGACACCTTTGGGCCCATCACCAAGCTCATCCCAAATCAGTTCTTTCCTAAATCCATGCAGAAAGTGCAGGTGCCTTTTGATGCCTTTTTAAAGTTCTGCCACTCTGCTTAGAGTAAACCAGGGGTGAAAGATTTGGCTGACCTAAAATTTTGTTATTAAGGCCATGAAACTTAAGACACAAGGACATACAGCTTTAACGTAAGTTCTTTGAGACAGCACTCATTCTGTCAGAAGTAAGCCATAGTGCAGACTCAGAGTGGTCAAGAGTGCAGAGATTGAGGCAGTTTTTAGAGAATCGTGTCTCAGCCCGAGTTCTGGGGCACGTCTTCAACTGGGTGGACGGGAGGGTCCGAAATCCTGCTGTGGTTGCTGCACATCCCTGAGGGCCTCCAGGACAGTTCTGATTTGAAGATTGTCAGCTACACAGGCGGCTAAAACCAAGTTTCCTTCCAAACTGCTGCCTCCTTTACTGACCCCAGTACTGACCTCCTTTACTATCCGCATCCCTATACTTGAGGGGCCCCTGAGCAAAGGGCCACAACTAGCCCTGCAGTCTTCAAGATATTGCATTCAGGTCCCAAGACCTGTGCAGCAACATTTGTGATAGGTACACTAATCATTCCTCCACCAAATGGCAAAGTCCTTGTTGGAGTTGTTGGGGTGCCACCCCCTTCTTTGTTTTCTCTCTCTCTGCTGCAGTAGTGTTTTAAACTGATAAAATACAGGTGTTTTGTTTTTTTTTAAAAGCAACCAAAGACTCTTAATGTTATTAGTGCCCCATCATTGGCCATCCCAGCGTAGGTGTGTGCTCTTTGTGGGAAGCGGCCTCCATCCCTCAGCTGTGTGTTTCAGTTACTGCTGGGGACATCTATTGGCGTCGCACTGTGGTCACCAGTACATGTTGTTGGTGTAAAGCCTTGCCTGAGCAGAAAAGGCGGTTGACCTGTTTAGAAAGATAAATTCTGTTATTCTTCTGTGTCTCCCCCAAACAGATTTTTGAAAAGTTCAACACTTAATCACAGTTCCATGTAGAAATCAAAGTAACAAAACGTTAGGAAATGATGGTTATGATCTCCAGGATTCTCTATAGGAGTAGCACTTGGGAGTTGCACACTCACACACCTCCCAAAGGTGCTGGTCACACGCTACTTGTTGGGGAGTTTAAGAGTCCGTTTTCCCCCTCAAGGGTCATTTTCGCAATTAATCCTTTCAAGTGCATAGTATCACTGGGTCAGTAAATTCCTGTTCCCTTTAGTACTTGAACAGGGGGCACTGGACCTGCCTCGTCTGACCCTTGTGTGGGAAGGCAACACTGCCAGAGTCCATGGCGGTGCTGAAGGCACCCAGGCGCCTGCCCCAGCTTCCCTTCTATCCACTGAGAGTTTGTCTCATCTATTTACACTCTTCATGGCGATGACAAGGTGTTAAAAACAGCTTCAGTAAGTGCTGATGTGTATTGTGCCTTATGATCACAGAGGGCGTCAGGGAGGGGCAGGAATGGAGGTGCGAACACAGTGATTCTTCACCTCGGTGATGTGCACTGTCCCTGGAAAACTTCACAGATCATGTCCACATGTTTTGTTTCCTTCAATTTAATTTTTTATAGAAATGATGGGGAAAAAAACGTTATGTGCTTTCTGCCATTTTACCAGGATGAAAGAGGATAACTCCCTTCATTAGCACAATTTACACTTGCAATCATAACCCTGCCATACTTGAAAAGTCAAGCCAGGGTCAGTCCTCAAATGGAAATGAGCACCTACCGGAAAATTAAAATGGAAGTATTTCACAAAGACATGGCTCACGTTAGCCATCTATCACTCGGCTATTTGCTAAGCCATGACTCTTTATAAAAGAGCAGAGTTGCTCCAAGTACAGATGTCACTTCGGCCCTGGGACAGTCAGAACATAGTGGCTGTGCGTGTTCCTGGGGGCAGAGTTACATAGGAAGGGAGCTGCCAGAGCTGTTTCTCTCATAACCCCACTCAGAGAGAGAGAGAAGCCTGCTTATCAGTGATTCACTTGAAGGCCCTTTAAATACCTTCCCAGCTCCCTATCCTCAGGCCTGTGGAAGAAGGGTCTCTACCCAACAAATCTGTGATGTAGACGTAAAGATTGTGCCTCCTTAGCAGGGAGTATGGGCTGGGAGTTGGGACAGTGAATGTCAAGATTGAATCCTCCAGTAAGTATTTTGAGTGAATACAAAACAAAACATAGAGAATGATTAGTGCTGAGGGAAAATAGGACAGGGTAATGAGACAGTGGGGGAAAGGCTACTTTGCCTGGGGGTGGCCAGGGAATGCCCCCCTGAGAAAGTGATGTTTGTCCTGAGTCAGACACTCAAAAAGACTGATGTCTCTGTATGTTCTTACCACACCACTCTAACAGGCACTTGGAATTGCTACTAAATTCCAAAGGTCACACCGTTCCAGTTTTAAGCGTACACTTTGGGGTTTGTTAAGGAATTTTTAAGATTTAAAAGAAAACCAACCTTAGCTACCAGCAGTATCCATAAACCGAGAGAAGATTCTGACTAATCTAGGACATTCTCATTAGCTCCATCACCTTGCAATGGAACCTATCCCGTCAAAAAGTAATCACTTCTCTGCGTGTTTTCTTCTAGTTTTTCAAGTTGTTGGATACATAAAGATCTACTTCTTAGATAGATAAAAGATAATCTTTTACTCTGCATATGGATTGGCTTTAGTGGAGCCACAACTCTCTGAGGATATTTTCACAAATAGGTTCCCCATTTTCATGACCCAAGGTGATGATCCCCAGGCACTGATGATCATAAATGTCTATTTATCAAAGACCCACAGGGTTTGTGTCAGGGGCCTGTGCCATGCTTTCTGACCCTCAGAAATGTGCCTCCCTGCCCTCTAAATCACAGTCAGTACAGCAGTCAGTCAGTTTCACTTCCATTCAAGCCACACTATTATTCAAAGGGAAAAGTCTGATGTTTGCTTAAGATCTTATCTTTTTAAGAAAAATTCAAACTAAATGCCCACATAAATTATAACCTTTCTCAGGAATTAGCCCCTCAAAGGTATCTCTGAAAAGTTACACCCACCTAACCTTTGAGATCCAGTTTCCCCAGACACATCTACATTCGCTCCATGCTAAAGAAGAAAAGTGGGGAACACAAAACTTTGACCCTCCTGTTATGCCTGGGGGATCTCTGACAAGTACGGAAACTTAAATGGCAGCAAATGTCCATTCATTATAGTACTAAGACAGCAGAAAGTGTAGTCGTTTCTTAACGTGCATTCTGTGCAGCCATTCTCTCAGCCAAGGTGAAATCTTACATTGTTCTTTACCCTTTGGTTTACGTAAAGGGCTATAGAATTCAATGCTGTCTTGACCCTTTGTTAGTGCAAGGGCCTCCCAGCTTATAGCTGCATTGGAGGCCAGTGTAGATGAAACAGAGGAGCCAGACTTCCTCTTTCTCCAGAATGGAAGAGAATATCTCTTCCACCCCACGCATAGAGACAAGCTGAGAGCCTGACTTGCCTAACATCCCTCAGCTTGTCTGGCAGAGTCTGCACCACAACACAGAATTTCTTCCTCCTCTGAGGGCCACATGGCCTCCTGAAAACCACACTGTCACCGTAGTCCTTCCAAACAGCCTTTGGATT